CTGTGAGTCACACACGCAGGACTCTGGTCTTTAAGGAAATGCACAGTCTTATATAATATTATGCAGCGGGAATATATTTTTCGCTCTGGCATTTACTGTGGCATGCATAATCTCACAAAGACAGAACTGGTAATGCTTAGAGTCGACATAAAGACATGTTCCTCATCTTATTGTGTTATTATAAAAGAAAACAAATATGTGTCTTTGTAATATTTTATCCTAGAGACACTCTTCACCATCTAATCAATACCTAATATATAAAAGGTCAAGCTGTACATTTTTATGTCAGACTGCGGTAAAATTTACAAGTAAAAGAGCAACATAGCTTAACATGCTTAACATTAGTAGTTCATATACATTTAGTTTAAACATATGCACACTAATATTCTGAAGTCTCTTCTGCTCAACAAGTGTGCATTTATTTGATCAAAAATATAGTAAAAATATAGTATATAGTAAAAATTTGAAATATTACACATAATAAAATTTAAAATAAGTAATATAACTAAATAAAATTATAAAAGTTAAAAATAAATAAATAATATCTTTTATATATTAAATTATATATTTAAATAAAGAAAATATTTTTAAAATATTAAAGTTTTCAAACTAATCATATAAAGGAAAAATAAATATATGTTGTATCAATATGATTTTTTTTTATATATATATAATTTTGTGGGAGTATCTACAAAGGTCCATGCTAATATAATTTCCTTTTGGGGGGGGTTTTCACATGAAAATAAAATGCTTCTGGTTGACTACACCACACTAAATATTAAATATTAAACATAAGTTCAGTTGTAAAAAAACATAAGTTTGTACAAGTCATTTAAATTTAAATTACATTAAACCAACTTCAAGTCAAATTCGGTTTCATATAACTTGAAATTATAAAGTTATATAAATTATAAAATTATGAAATTGCTCAACTTATTTTGATGAGTTACAGTAAATTGCCATGACTTACAGAGCTTTTTTTTTTTACAGTGTAGCATTTTAAAACAAAACTGTTTAAAAAAAAAAAAGAATATGCCAAACTACATAATTTTTCATAAATTAATAGATTATTCACGTGTTAAACAGAAGTAATTCAGACTATAATTGAGATGACGACTCATTTTGCTGACTATTATTATTATTATTATTATTATTTATTTTTAATTTTCTATTTTATTTTGGTTGAGTATTACTTTAAGGATGTTGTTTATTTTCAATGTTTATCATTTACGTAAGTTTTGTTTTTACGTAAATAATTTTACACAATCGTAATTTCAAAGGATACTGTTGAAATTCTAAATAAGAATATTTAAACACAAACTTCACATTCAAATAAGTTACCCAACTTTAAAGAATTTCCCTATTTTCTGGGAAATAAGTTGTTGAGAGAAACAAAAAAATTGCATTGTTGAGATTTTAAAAAAAGAAAAGAAAAAAACAAGTTGCATCGGTGCATCACATTTTATTATCACATAAAAAAAAAAGTTAAATATCGGTAAAAAAAATAAAATGTTTATAAATATGCACTTGTTAATACAAAGTTTTTAGGCAAAAAAAGCATCTGAAACCTCTATCTCCTCTGTGTATTTCCCTTCCGAATGTGTGAATCTGCCCTTTTGACTTCTCCAGCAGAGAGCTGTTGACTGATTCAATTCAGTCATGTGAATGTGTGCTATTATTCGATTTATAGGTGAGAAACCCGATCTCGTCTCAAACGCCGCTGAAATGCTGAAATGTGCGAGCGAGAATTATCAGAGGAAATACATGGCAGCTCATTTGCCATAAATCATTCACTCCTTCAAACAAACGGCCGTTTACGCTGATGAAGTCGACAGCTTATAAAGCGCAGATTTGAGGCACACAGAGACGGTTGTGTTTAGTTTTCATCATCACACACACACACACACACTCACACTCACACTCACATACACACTCACACACACACACACACAGACACACTCACACACACACACACAAAGACACACACACACAGACTGTATGACAGATGTTGCTCGTTTCTCAGAACAAACTCTTACTTAACAGAGCAATTAAACAGAACATAAAGACACCCTTTTGAAAATGAAGAACACTTTAGCATATTTTTGAAAAGATTATTAATATGATAATTAATATGGAAATAAGAATATATTTAAATTCTAACTGAATGTCTGCTGTAATTGCATGTTATTTTCAGTTTCCATGAAAATGTATTATAGTTTAAATTTATATTAAATACAACTTTATAATTTTTTTGACCCACTTAAGTACATTTTATATGCATTTTCATAATTCATAATTTTATCTATGAAATACGGTTAAAGTTTTATAGTTACAATATACTTTAAATCATGCTAGCAGCATGCAAAATCTTTCTAACAGCACGCTAAAAGATGCTAGCAACATGCAAAAAGATACTAATCAATTATGCATAAAATATGCAAGCAATGTGCTAGTAACATGCTAAAAACTTGCCAAAACATGCTAGCAATGTGCTAAAGGATGCTAGCAATACATTCAATAAAGCTAGAAACATGTTAGCAGCATAACTCAAATGTGCTAAAACATAGAAACCTGCTAACAATTGTCATCAAACTTTACTGATATAGTTCAAATGGAATATTAAATACAACTTAATGTTTTTGACCAACTTAAGTAAATGTGATACGTATTTTCATCATTCATAATTTTGCCTATATAATATGGTTAAAGTATAAATAGTTAAAATGTTCTACAAAAAATGTTTACAATGTTAAATTCTAATAGAATGCTAAAAATGCTAACAATGTGCTAAATCCTGCTGGCAACATGCTAAATTCTAACAGCATGCTAAAACATGCTAGCAACATGCTATTAGATGATAGCAATGAGCTAAATCATGCTAGAAACATGCTAACAACGTGTTAAATCATGCTAGAAACATGCTAACAGCGTGTTAAATCATGCTAGTAACATGCTAAATTTTGCAGCATGCTAAAACATGATATTAAAATGTTAAAATATGCTACCAACGTGTTAAATCATGCTAGCGACAATGCTAAATTTTTGCAACATGCTAGTAACATGTTAAAATATGCTAAACAATGTGCACAATCATGCTCGAAACATGATACCAACGTGTTAAATCATGCTAGCAACATGCTACATTTTTGCAGCATGCTAAAACATGCTAGTAACATGCTAAAAATGCTAACAATGTGCAAAATCATGCTAGAAACATGTTACCAACATGTTAAATCATGTTAGCAACATGCTAAAACATGCTAGCAAAATGCTATTAGAGGATAGCAATGAGCTAAATCATGCTATAAACATGTTAACAACGTGTTAAATCATGCTAGCAACATGCTAAATTTTTGCAGCATGCCAAAACATGCTAGTAACATGCTAAAATATGTTAACAATGTGCAAAATCATGCTAGAAACATGCTACCAACGTGTTCAATCATGCTAGCAACATGCTACATTTTTGCAGCATGCGAAAACATGCTAGTAACATGATAAAATATGCTAACAATGTGCAAAATCATGCTAGAAACATGCTACCAACGTGTAAAATAATGCTAGAAACATGCTAAATTTGATCAACATGCTAAAACATGCTGAAATATGCTAGAAATGTGCAAAATCATGCTAAAACATGCTAATTCAAGCTACAAACATGTTAGCAATGTGCTAAAGGATGCTAGCAATGTGTTGAATCATGCTAGAAACACGTTAGCAACATAATATCTTAAAAATGTGCTAAAACATTTTAGCAAGGTGCAAAAGAATAAAATTGTAGTAGCTACTGTTTAATTGACTTTTCTGACCTGTCTGAGTAAAACCAAACTTTAAAGCTTAAGCCCAATATAAAGCTTTCCTCATTTAGTGTAAATTTATATTAAATACCTAAGAATGCTATTTTGACCCTTCCCATCGACCCTGCGTTCAGATCAGGGCTTTTAGCATGTCGGGGTGCATCTGATTGGACCGGAGGGTCAATGCATTGAATATGGAGAGTCAGTCATCATCAAATTAACACAGGACCATTTCGTCTCTGACAGGCCTTTTCAAATCTTTACTGATACAGGACATTTAATTTAATGCCCCATTGCCCTTTTAAATGTCAGTTCACTGGTTAATGTTTTATATCAAATCACCTGCACTTCAGAACGAGGGTAAACAGGAGGATCGTGACCGACACACGTGACTCTGACGTCTGCGACCGTCCTCAGAAAACGTCTCACACTTTTACTTGCATTTTCTCCATAAGGACTTTTTAAAAAATCCATGAACCAACCGAATCTACCAGAGCTGAAATTAATTATTACATTACAGCTTATTATAGTAATGTAAATTTGGGAGGATAATAGACCAATTTATAATGAAAATAATGTAGACAAGCAAAAAATGTAATGTATTGTTTTAGTTGTGTTTTTGTGATGTAATGTAGTTTGTTGTTGTGAGGACTATTTGTGCTGTTTGTGTGTTGAGTTTTTTGTCTGAAGACACTTTTCTACCCCACTGGGGATAGACAATAAAGCTTTTGAAATTGATTTGAATTGAAATGCATATAAACATAAAAATTAAGAACAGAAAATTAAGATTTTTTTTGTAATAAAATGTTTTAATTTAGCATAAATAAAAATTTGAGTATGTTTTTTCCTTTGTTTGTTTTGTTTTTGCATTAATGTAATGTGAATTTGGGGGATAATGTGTTAACTGATCATGAAAATAATGTAAACAGGAAAAATATATATAAACAAAAATCAACAACAATATATATATATATATATATATACATACATATTGTTGTAATTAAATGTCATTGCTGAGCTCTTTGGCAAATATATTTTTATTTCATTGTTAAAATGGAAATGATAGAGGCAAATAATATGATTTTTGCATGATTAGTGCTGTGTGATTTGTGATTGTATCAAGCTGTTACTGATCCTCAGAGTAAATACTGCAGCTGTGAGATAAATATGTTGCTTTACGCACAGTCAGGAAAGCAGTTTTCCGGTTCCATGGCCTCTTCGGCCGTCTCAGAGTATTCATCCTCCTCCTCGCCGGGTTTCCTGAGGTCGATCGTGCTGCCCTCTGATAGGCTGGTGTCATCTCTCTGAAAACCAAGAGAACCAATCAGATCCCCTGACCAATTAAATTACACATTTCATCTTTCCAATCACTTATTGGACTCCTGGAGATTAAAATAATATTTTAAAAAAACACTGCGATTCTGACAGATTTACGAATGAATTAATTTGACTGATGATTAGCTTGACTTATTCAAAATAAAATTGCTCACAAGTAAGTTTTAGTAACATATTTTAGAGACGAGCATAGCTAGACAAAGGCAAAGTATTCAGTATAAATATTCAGTATAGATATATTACACAAATGACCAAAAAATAAATAAACAAATACTTACATGTAAATACATTTATATTAGCATGTGTATATAAATAAATGTATATTGTTACTAGTTTAACTATAAATAAAAACATAAACAAATAGATAACGTGTATTAGTATGTTAATTAATCAAATAAATGAATAAATAAATAAACAAATATTAGTATATAAACGTGTGCGTGTGTGTGTGTGTGTGAGTGCGTGTGTTAGTGTGTGTGTGTGTGTGTGTTAGTGTGTGTGTGTGTGTGTGTGAGTGCGTGTGTTAGTGTGTGTACATTGCAAGAATTAGATGTTTTGTTTCCAGTCAAGACTTGGAGAAACTTGTTCATGCCTTTATCAGCAGCAGGGTGGACTATTGTAATGGTCTCCTCACCGGCCTTCACAAGAAGACCATTAGACAGCTGCAGCTCATCCAGAACACTGCTGCCAGAATTCTGACTAGAACCAGAAAATCTGAGCATATCACACCCAGGGCAGCATTAAGACCTCACTGGGCCCCGGGGCTATGACTTACTGCAGGGCCCCCCATCACAATAATGATATATATAGCTTAAAATAATATTTTTATCCAATCAAAATTTTTAATGCATTGCAATTTCACAATTCTTGTTATCAATTCCAATATCACAAAATAAAAAATACTAGCCTAAGTAAAAACAAACTTACTGAAGACAAGTAAACAGTCATGAATCACAATAGAAGAAAGAAATTGACATATAAACACTAAAAGCACTGAATAAGAAACATTATATCGTATAAAATAAATAGACTACAAATAGACTGAATATATATATATATAGACTTCAATATACATTATTATACATGATTCGGTCAAGGACAGTGAGGGATTTTCTTTCTAATGTTTAATTTGCATTATTGACACAGACAGCAACAGCAGCTATATTAGGCTGCTTTGGAGGAGTAGTTCACCCAAAAATTAAAGTTATGTTGTTGTTGTTCTAACCCTGAATGAGTTTCCTTCTGATGTTGAATGCAAGCGTATATATTTGGAACAATACTGGTAACCAAACAGTTTCTGTGCTCCTATGACTTCCATAGTATGAAAAAAAACAACACTATGGAGTCAACTTTCTGGTGGTTACGAATACTCTTCAAAATATCGTCTTTTATGTTGAGGAGAACAAAGAAATTCATACAGGTTCAGAACAACTTGAAACTGAGTAAATTATGACAGTATTTACATTTTTGGGTGAACAATATCCCTTTAAAATCTCATCTCATATAATGCCAGGATCTCATAATAGCCAACTGGTGCACATGCTTTATCTTTAACTATTAACGTTCATTTAAGACACAAATGACTGTGCTGACGAGGAGACAGGCATTTTGACACATAACTATGTGTATTCGAACGTTTAAACACAAGGTGCGAAAAATAACTCTTGGTTTAGTCAGGCGCTGTACGAACAAGTATCAGAAACCGTCTTAACGCGCGCATTTGCCAAAATGAATTCTGCCCCACTGCTTAATGTCCCTGAACAGTTAAATTAGTTTTTAAACCAAAATGCTTAAAATGCGTTTAAATGAAAAGCTTACATCATGATGCGCAAAATGAATTTCTCAACCCATAAGCGAATACACTAGGCCTATAGAGTTAGTTCAAACACAAAAAGCAACATCTATCAAGTTAATAATCAAACTAACCTAAAATCTGTGTGGATGATGAGGCTGTATTTTATCTGCTCCATATGTCCGGTCCATTTGCGGTTCCACAACTCCCTCTCCATCATCAGCTTTAGTCAAATAAACTAGCAGTGGATTTTAGTGACTCACTCATGCTTTCCCCTCTCTTCTCATTTTTTTCTCTCACTATTTTTTTTTTTTTTAGAATAGTTGACATTTTTACTTATCGAAGATTGTTCTTTGCATGACCGTTTCTAGATTACACCAGAATGAAGTGAAGACATTAGGCGCAGCGATCTCCTGATAGACATTTTGTTCAAAAGCAATATATATAATAAATGCATTTGATTGGTAAACCAAATTCAACTGTGACATTTTAATCTCTAATGGTAATGCATGGAATTTACGGAAAAACTCCACTAAATAATAGTGCTAAAAAGTGAGGGGCGTGGTGGGGCTTTGG